TCCTAGCACCTCCCACAGATTCTTGAGTAGTAAATTAAGGAGGATTTCATTCTGGTTTTACCTCTCTGGAGGCTAGGGGGAGTGGGAAGGTGGGGTTGATGCTAGGGCTATGGGATGGGCTAGAGCAAGGCTTCATTCCTCAGCAACATCCTGCATGAGTCATAGCCTCTGATCCTGTCTCCTCTCAGAGCTTGACTTGGCTGAGAATTCAGGATCCTGAAGGCCTCAGTTCCAGCTCATCTCTGCCCCCACCTTGTGCTGTAGGACCTTGGTCAGCACTATGAGCTCAACTGCTCTGGGGAGGTAGGAACCTGTGGAGGACCATGGGAAGGACCTGCTCCACCTAAGTCAGGATGTGTGCTCATTAACCTCGGCTCCCCACTGGATGCTGCTGTGATCTTTCTGAGTCACGTTCCCTTCATTCTGGGCCTCCCTCTTGCCTCCTTATGCTGTGGCTCTCTGCCACCTCCCACTGTGCAGGAAGGATGTGCCTGTCCCAAGACCTCCTATGATCTTTGGGATGCTTTAGGGAAACACCTGGACGGTGCTGGCTCAGCAGGCCTGGGCCTGTGCTTCCTTGCTCTGGAGGCCACAGCAGGGACTGGGTCCCCATCCCTTAGGCACAGAAGCACATCCCTTAGGCACAGAGGAGGGGCACATTCGTGCTGCTTCCCATCCTGGCTTTTCTGCATCCTGCTAATAGTGGACACACAGTGCTGGGGTCCTATCAGATGAAGAGAGTCCTGCCACCCCCTCCTGGTTTGATGTGATGTGAGTCATCCTGTATATCCCTAGGAATCAGGGCGAGGGTGTCCCATAGCCCCCATACCACATACACGCATCAAACAGCACTTCCAGCTCTTTCTCCAGCTCTTGGCTCCTCTGTGGTAGGTCAAAAAGTGGGAATGCAGAGGTGCCACCTTCTGAGAGATACGAGGTGACCCAAACCAAGGTCCATCCTCTTTGTTACAAACTCATGGCAGCGTCTTTGTCTTTCTGCCTCCTAGTTCTCTGTTCCCACTCTCAAACCTCCCTGGTCACTGGCTGAACACTGGGATGCCACATGTGCCTTGTATCTGTGTTTCAAGCCTCATGCTCCATACATCTAGATTTTCTATGCAATCTCTCCCACTTGGGTCTCTCAGTTGGACACCCAATTCTTATGCATTAATAGTAATTTTCCACAGTAACTTCCATAATCCATCTCTACCTCCAGCTTATAGTTTTGGTTCTTCAGATTCCTCTTACATCTCCCAACCGTGGTCCCTTCCCAGCTCTATACCCTTTTGGGTGTAGAAATATTTCTTCTAAGCCACAAAGTCCTTCCACATTAATGCTATCTTCTCTCTCCTTAACAAAAGTAAACTGTGCTTTTAGTCAAGGCCATCCACTTGACCTGGGCATTTGCTCCCATCCGCTCACCTCTACACCACCACATTGCTCCAACAATTCCTCCATGCTTTCCTTTACCATCAGTTTATCCCTCCTGACTGCATCAGTTCCATCAACAGCCAACATGCTATGTCTCTTACCTTAAAAAAACAAACAAACCTTCTCTTGGTTCCACTCCCTCCTACAGCTATTGCTTCATTTTTCTGTGCCTCTGTGGAACAAACCTTCTTGAAGGTACTGATTACACTGGCTATCAACAACTGCTGTTCTGTTTTCTCTTGAATCCACTCCAGTCATGCCTTCCCTTCCATCATTCACCAGTGTGTTCTTCTCAAGGCCACAGATGATTTCTGTGTTACTAAATCTATTGGTCAACTTTGAGTCCTCATCTTCTTTGGCCAATTCATAACTTTTTATGCAATTGATCACTTTCTCCTTGCTATATTTTGCTCTCTTGGCTTCTAGTATACCACAGTCTTATGGTTTTCCTCTTTCCTTCCTGGCTACTGGTTCTTTCTCTTCTCTCTTACTGGTTCCTTTTCTCCCTCCAATTTCTTTACATTGGAATGTCCCAAAACCCAGCCCTTAGATCTCTCCTTCATTTACATTCATTCCCTTGGTGATCTTATCTGGTCTCACAGTTTTATATACATCAATTAATCAATCAGTCAGTCATCTGTAGGCAGCACCCTTCCTGAGGCCCCTCAAGCTTAGTGTTGAGAATAGACTTTTGGGACGTATAGTGTCAGGAAGAATAGGAGGGATTTGTTATACTAATGCAATAATCTTAGTAGCAGAGGAAGTAAGAAGTGGTCATATTCTGGATTTACTATGAAGATAGAGACAATAGGCTTAGTGATAGATTGGTTGTGGACTCTTGGACATAACATCAAGATAATGCCAATGTTCTTGACCTGAACAACTGATGAGAGAGATGTGGGAAATACTGCAACTGAAGCAAGTTTTGTATGTGTGATTGGGTAATGATGCAAGTGGGGGAATCAGGAGTCTACTTTTGAGATGAATATTAGACATCCAAGTGTATATTTTGATTACTCAATTTGGGCATGTAAGACTGTATACCCCCTGAGATCATGAGCTCTTTGGAGGCAAGAGTTATGTCTTGGTGACTGTTGCATCTGGCATAGTTCCTGTCACATAGTAAGTACTCACATATTTTAATTATTGAATGCAAGATGCCTTTCAAGGTCATTTTTATTGTGGCAGGACCCTATATACTGTAGCACTTATCATACTTATGTAATCATTTATCTGCTTCCTCAGTCCAGACTTTGGATTCAAGTACTATTAAGGTGTTACTATGAACCAGCCACTATCATAACCCCTGGGGATATGAGACACTACTATAATTATTTGGGAAAGAAAAGATGAGAAACTGAACTATAAGCACAAGCAGTAAAAAAAAGGGGGGGGGGCAACTTGATGCCAAAATTAGAGCTCAGTGACTGACTTAATGTATGGTTTAAGCAAAAAAACAGATGTACAGTGATACCATTTTCTGACGTTGTGAGACAGTTTGGTGGAGTGGAGGTTGTTTGGAGATTCTGAATCAATATGCATTGTCTTTGGAGCAAGATGAAGCCTCTCTTCATGGCTATTGGCTGTACAGTTGTAGCTCAGAGGGAAGATTAGAGCAGAGAAGTGGTTTTGGGAATCATGAGTACACTAATAATAAGGTTTTGGGGATGGATGTAGTTGTCAAACTTTCCCAGATGAAGAAACTGGGGCTCATAAGTGTTAAGTAACTTGTCCAGTGTCAGAATTGGGATTCTAACTCTGATGAATTTTTCCACATTCCATCCTTGTGACTTTGACCTTAAAATGTGCATCCTCTCCAAGGGTCACACATTTGTCCTGAAAATTGTAAAAACACATGCTCAAGAATTTTGTAATGTTTTCCTTGTGTTGTAGCTTTGCTGCCCTTTGTTCATGTTTACCATCTTCCTTTGAAATTGCTCTCTAGCCAGAAGGTTCCCTCCAAAGTGAAAGGAACTCACACTTAACCTTGTATCAGGGGGAATAAACACAACCTTGAGCTATGCTGTTCTGCCATGCCTCCTTAGGGTCCTGCGATTCGTATTCCTTTCAGGGAGACCAATACCTGCCCCAACCCAGTTAACAGGAGAAGGTAGGACAGGGTCCGCTCATGACTCCTGAGGAGGTCAAGGAATTATGAGTATGATGGGCACTTTTAAGAGATCCACTCTGTGGCCAGGGCTACAGAGGCTGCTGGTGGTAGTGATTACCTATCTGGTGATGGTGCTGGGGTGAGAAAGGGATTGCAGGCTGACTGCACAGGAAGCAGAGTATCTCAGTAAGATACATAAGAGTGTCTTATTATGGTAAGCTACTCAAGAGGCCTCCTACGACAGGTCTGTAGGAGGAACTTCATTTAGTCTAAGTGTAAAACAAGATACAGTTTGGAGGGGCTTACATTTCTCTACGGCTGCGCACAGATCTCAGCTTGCCTCTCAGTCTCCCTCTTGGGTTTCACCATTCATCCCGAGCACTTCAGAGGTTTTCACAGTATATTTCCATTAATGATTTCTCTGAAATAGCCAATTACTGGGCAGCCCCAGGGAGCAGCATAGCGGCCACAGTCCCTCTTCAGTTCTGAGCAGCTTATCTGGTTGTTAGAGACTCATATGTGCATTAAATTCTGGATTCATGGCCACTTTCTGTGTCTGCTTAATGGGATACTTTCCAAAAGCCTTAAAATTTTGACCATCAAGGTGAGTGATTCTGGTACTTTCTGAAATGCAGTGAGACACAGTAATGAAGAAATTGGAAAGGCTGACAGGAACCAAGGGTTAGATCAGGCAGGCTTATATGATGCACCCTTTGGTAGGGAAAAGGACAGGAGTCATCTGCTGAGGCAAAGGCACCAGGCAGATCTTAGGAGTAGGCACAGCTGACTGAGCTCAGCAGCATATAATATACAAGAAGTATATTAAAAAACATATATATGAATATTCAGGGAGCAAACTGGTGGAAAGGAGGAAACCAGAGAAAGATAGGTGGTATAAAAAAGAGACATGCAGTAGGGCTGGGTACAAGGTGCTGTCAGTACTTGACAAGCTGAGATATGTTTAACAAATTCCTTGTGTTTGTGTGCTTTCCCAAAGCTTCAGTACTGAAATCACTGTTCTTTATTCCATTATGGTCAAGCTCACTGAAGCTCACAATCACGCAACTCCTTACCCTAAAAGTACTTGGGTCATGGCTGGCTTCCTAGCTCTGGACTCTTTTGAGTACAAAGCGAATTGGCTTTGCTCCTTCATCAAGCTCTGATCAGGAACGTGTCAACTTCTGTCCCAGCTACTCAGACCTCCATCTACATGCTCCCCCTCCTTGCTTCTCTCCCAGCCTCCCCCTTGGGAGTGGTGGAAAAGACACTCTCCACGTCCTACTGTGATCTTCATTCCAGGAGTCCCTCACTCCATGCAGCTGATAGGCAGTGGAGGTTGGAAATAGGCAAGAGAACTACAGCAGACTCCCAGAGGGCTCCAGAGAGGCCCAAACAGTAACCAACAGGGAGCAGAAAAGGGGAGATGCTATCATTTGGTTCTGATTTTTATCCCGTCATATTATTAGCTGTGTGCTTTTGATAAACACAAGCACCTCCTCAAGGTTGGAGTACTGTGGAACTCCTCTAAAAACGTCCCCTCCAGATTGGGGGTGTATACAGAAGTCATGAATGAATTCTGCCTGTGGATTCCTGTCAGTATTTGCTCATGTCCACAGTGCTCTTCTGGGCCAAAGGACGCCATGGAGGTCATGACAGAATCGAAGCTTGACCCTTCCCTTCAGTGCACCTTCCACAAGGGCCTTCCTTCTCCAGGGTGGGGCTGGGAGGAGTTGTGTGGAATGCTGCCCCAGCTGCACTGTGGGATAAAGCTTCCATAGACTGGACGGATGGGTGTAGCCTCTACCATGCCTTCCCTGAACACACCAGAGTGGAGGGAAGGAGCAGACAGAAACTGATTAGAGATATAGAGTGTATTTTGGGGGCCGCTCTGCCCCACCCGCACAACAATGAAATGACAGTAATGGTCCTCTCCAAGGACTGAGGACGTTGGGGAGCCCACAGCGTGGCTTGAGCAGGGTCATCTTAAGCAGACCAGCATTTCCCTCTGAGACGAGGCTTGAGAGTTAGGGCGGTTTCCTTTGTTGGGTGGCACAAGCCACTCGGGGACAGTGCTGAGGGCAGTGGCGGGGGTGGCCCAGGACTGAGGCCGAGTGGAGTGGATGGGAGTGGTGCCCGAGCTTGCTGTCTGGGGGGTGAGGGCCACCCACGAAGGCCAGGCCCCACTTCTCAGTGGGGGGAGACTGGGCCTCGCCCTCTCTGTCTTGCCTTCTCTGTCTGAGTTCGCCCCATGGGACTTTTGGCTGGAGCCAGGCTCTTTGCTACATTCTCTTTTCCGGTGTTGGCCACTTTCTCAGCTGTAAAGAACTTGGATTCCCTGTGCCCTTGGCCTTTTGTCTTGGGGTTAATATGGTTCAGAAAGGATTTCATCTTGCTTCTCAAGCCACTCTGGGAGGCTGGGGCTCTTGTGGGTATGGACTGGCATCACCTGCCCCTGCAAAACACGACCTTGCAAATTTCGACCGGGAAGTGGCTTACTCTGAATGAGCTGGCCCAGGAGAGGCTGGCCCTGTGACACCTGGGGCACTACAGGCCGGGCATTCTCAGGAATCCTTGCTGGTTTGCGGATGACACTGAGCTTGGTTTGACTATCTGGCAGGCCATGCTTCTTGGATTCCTTCCCCCTAGGGACTCCCGGAGGTAGCTCTGGGAGGTCAAGCTGAGGGCGATGCTGGGACTGTGTTGACAGGGAGCATCAAGGTGAAAGCCTTGTCCCTGCTGCTGGAGGCTGTGGGGTGTTCTCTTCACAAGCATCCCTTCTGGCCTCTGGGTGCCTTTTTTCTCTTGTTGCAGAGAGCACAAACCCTGCATCCCCTTCTCTGTGGTCCCCTGCTGAGTTGGGTTTCCCTGGGCCCCCTCTCGTTTCTGCCGGCATGGAGACTTGGGCCAAGTCCTTGCTCTTGCCAGAGCTTTGGGGCTCACGACTCCAGGGCTCCCGCAGGCTGGGGCTGTTCATGCTGCCTTCCAGCTGAACACAAAGCACCCGGGCCTCTGCTGTGTCTCCACTGGGTTGTGAGACTTTGGAGGCCCAGTGGGCAGAACCTTGAGGTACTGCTCTGGAACGTGGCTGCTTCTGGTTCTGCTTCACTGCCTTTAACTCAGTGGGCAGCTGCTCTTTGAGGTGGAGCCGTTCTGGACCCGGGTCATGAGGAATGTCTGCTGGGATGGGGAGTTCCTGGAGCAATGCTTTTCCTTGGTTGTTTAGACTTCCAGGAGACTCCTGGCTGCATATGTTCTCTGAGATCGCTGCCCTTTGTTCCCTGGACTCCCTCGCCTTTATGGGAATTTCCAGTTGTACCTCTAGGATCTTCTTTCTCAGGTGGAAATTTAGTTTGGCTAAGAGGGGTTTCTTTAGTGAGTAGGCTCGAGCTGGCTCTGGTTGGCTGTCTGGAGGCACCATCTCAGTCATTCCTTCTGCCTCCACTTCAGGCAGGAACTCATCTGCAATGTCTGCACAAGTCTCACTGGCATCCTGAAAGCCGGACCCGGGACTTAGATGCTGCTCATCAGAGGAGATCCTCCGAGTCAGTGGCTCTGTTGGGAATTTGTCAGGTCCAGGCACCATCTCTGTGATTACAGCCTGGGTAGTGACTACTGGTGCCATGGCCCCAGAGAGAGTCACAGAATAAAGAGCAGGCAGCCCTGACAAGAAGGCCAGATACTTGTGTCGTAAAGTCATCTCCAGTTTCTCAATGGCTCTCTTGGACAGGGTTCGGGGCAGCTTAGGATGTTCACTGACAACACCTGGTGAGGCCTGCTGCTGCTCAGGCGCTGTTGGCATCCAGGGCATAACTGCCTGCTGGAGGTCAGGGCCAGCTGCTGCCTGTAGCTCCAGGGGCTTGCTTTCTGGGATGCAGGTGCGGGGAGTCACTTCCAGGCTCCCAGGAATTATGCACTCCCAGGAGCTGTATACACAGGCAGGGACCTTGCCCTGATGAATCTGCCCACTTTTGGAGTTGATATGGCTCCGCAGTATTGCCTTGGCCTGGTCAAACAAGTGTGGGTCTATGATGGGTGAGAACGGGTCACCAGCCCTAATGGCCTCTGGGGCCGTAGGCTGGGGAAAACTCACATTGGCTCAGGCTGTGCTGCCCCAGGACAGAGTCTGCTGGTCGGTGAGGGACAGGAGCAACTGGGCGGACTCCCGGACCTTCTGGGGCAGGCCCCAGTGGGGGTGGATCGACTGGCTCTGGAGGTGGAGTTCCAGCAGCCTCCGGGCATGCTCTGGGAAGAAAAGTAGTTCCCTGGTGACGAGCAACATGGGTTTTCCTGGGCAGGATGTTTTCACTCTCTCAGGAGACTGGGCTTTGTCATAGGGCTGACACTGCACAGAGCTCTGCGTGTGCTGAGATCCCTAGAAGACAGCTGGCAAACCCCACTGATGCTGGAGCTGCCTCTGCAGCAGGTGCCACTCCAAGGCTTCACACTGGGCCAGAGTCAGAAATGCAACACTGACCTGAGCTCGCTGCTCAGATGGAGCGACCCAACTGGGGGAAGATGGGAAAGACGGTGGGGCTGACTGGGATGGACTTGTAGGCAGCACCGGGAGGAAGGAGAGCCCCTTGAAGAGAAAAGGATCATTCAAGGGGTACCTGGACATGCTACCGTTTGTGGAGAAGCCTTGAGAGCCCAAGACAGTGTCAACTAGGGACTCACTGTGTAGAGAAGGGAGGCCACAGAATAGCTGGCTGTATTTCTGTTGCAAACGGCCCACCGTGTCATAAACCTGTTGCCCAGGAAATGGGTAGAGGCCACTAAAGTGTTCTAAGGGCTGGAGAGGGAGAGGCTGTCCAAGCCACATGGTTTGGGATTTGCTGGTAGTGGTGTCTTTGTTCCGGGTCCATAATGGGCCATTCCAAGACCCAGAAGGCCTGGGTGGGCTGGCCGTCACACAGGAACCCCAGGTCTGGTAGGAAATGGCCCCCAAATTCTCGAAAGCAAACTCAGAAGTATTTTGGAGGAAAGAAACTGGTTGATTATGTTCAGGTCCATAAAAGAATGGTGGGTTTGGCATAAGCTGCCTCAGGGACTCCTCCACACGTCTGGGGAGCCCCCACCTCTGGAAATGCATCCATTTTTTCACATGAACTTCAAGAAGTCTCAGGACTTCAGGACAGAGGAATGGCAGTTGGGCAGGGAGGGCAGCTGCCATGTGCAAGGCTATGGGATGTGTCAAGGTAGTGATTTCTTGGTTCAGGGTCAGCAGAGACACTTGGGAAATCAAGGGCTGCTGCTCTTGGTTCCTGTAGACAAGGTTGGTGTCGCTGTGTGTCAACTCCTCTTGGTTCATCAGAATTCTAGGCTCCTGAAGGCTTGAAAAAGACATCATGTCTGGGCCCCAAGGCACCTCTGGCACTTGAAATCCCTGCCTTAGTTTGAGGTGCTCAGTCCAGTCGTCATGGATGTTGATTGTATTGGTTAACTGGACAGCTGGCTATGTTAAGGATTTCTGATCTGTGAATTGTGACGCTGGGGTGTTGGAGATGGAAGTGGAAGCTCTTTGGAGTGTGGAAACAATGCTCTAGATTCTGCTCAAAAGACACTCTTGACATGGACAAAATTTCTAGACAAGGAGTCATGTGATGGTCCTGATGAAGTGGGGGAGATCAGGGCACTCTCACCCACCAGCAAATGCTGAATCTCCAGGGCCATGCGATCACAGGTTTGGAAGCTGGTGTCTGTACACAGGATACTCCGCACACTTCCCTCCTGAGGAAGCCAGCTTTGGCTGGAAAGGGAAATAGGGCAACTGTTATGGAGGCATGACAGCTGCCTCCTTAGAAGTATGTGGCTTGCGTATGGGCCCTGCCCTCCTCTAGTCCTTAAAGCCCTGGAGCCTGTACTCTGGATATTTCCCCATCTACTTTATTCCCAGGTAAATGCCATTTGGCAAGTTACGGTGGGCTGGGCTGAGGGTCTGGCACTTGTTGGGCAAGGTCGCAGACAACTGATGGGAGCGCGTGGCCAGGAGAGACTGGGAGGTGGGGTGAGTTCTCTGCTGACCTGTGTTGAGATGCTGAACTGGGAGAAGGGAATGAGGCAGATGGGTGGAAGCCAATGTTTAGCTGATGGGGCATCACCAGTAAAGTCAACAGGTAGAACCTGGCATCAATCTTGTTTGTAGCTAAGAAGGCCAGAGCCTAGTAATCAGTATTTCCAAACTGGAAAATGAGGTCCTTGTTGGAATTCTGCTTTCTGGGATTATAGGGTGCACACAATATCTCTTGGGAGCCAGCCTCATTCTCTAGAGATCATAAGAAGAGGATAAGATGACAGACTCGTGTCTGAGGGCCATCCCTGGACCTGACCTTCCTGAAGGCAGAACCAGAGGAGGTAATGTCAGCAGGTCCAGCTAGACTCTGAGGGGTCTGCCCTTGAAAGGGCACAGTTGTAGAGAGAATATGTAGAGAGAATGATTACTTTTTCATGCACTCATTTATCCATTCTCTTGACTGGTAACTTTTCTTATGGCTGAGTGTAAACCCATGTAGAGTCTTTTATGAATTGCCCAGTAGTCACATCCTGAATTCCAGGATCATGGTGAGCCTCGCCCAGAGCAGAACTTAGAGACTCCCCCCTTCTGAGACATATGATTCCCCTCTCAGCCAGCCCTCTCAGCCAGCCCTCCAGCCTCCACTGTGCTTGGCTCCCTCCCAGACACTGTCCCTCTCCTCATCCCTGCCCTGGCCAGGCAGAGAATCATCACAGGCCAGGCCGGGAGCTGGAGACTATGAAGAGCACGTGATCACCTTTTCATGATAGAGAGCAGCTCCCACGGCTTCTCAGCCTCCTCCTGGGGAAGTCTCCTAGCTGAGAAACCAGGAGACGGTGTTACATGGAACGGGGGAGGATTCGGGGACATCCTGCAGGAAGCTGAAGACCTTTGGTTGAGAGGTACTGGAAACCCCCAGTCAGTGCTCTAAGGCATGTCTGTGTACAGTTTAACCAGTGATGAGGGGATGTCCTGGACCTGATCTCCCTTGATTATTACAACCACACTGAGTGAGGTGGGATCAGCAGATGCCCATTTCATGGATAACCAAGAAATGAAGTAACTTCCACAGGGTCATAAAGCTAGTAAATGACACAGGTAAGGACTTCTGTCCTACTTCCTAATTTCTCAATCCTGGGGTAAGATGGATAATTTTGGAACATTCCCAGGCTCTGATTTCCCACCCAAGAAAGTCTTCTGGTAGAATTTATCAACTTGAGGAATTGGTGCCTTCGTAGTTAGAGCACCTGGCTCCTGGCACTGGGGCTAGAGGGACAGATCCATGGGCACCTCGCCTACCACGGAGGGGAGTCAGAACAGAGACTGGGACTTTACCTCTTGATGTTCTATCTTTAGCTCTTTATTTGACTCTCCAGTGATGCTTAAAGACAAAAAAGTTAAGGGTGTGAAGCTAGGAAACCATTTTATCTTCATGTCTAAAATGAGACAAAACCTGCAAATATTTCCCAAACCTTTTCTGTATTCCAATTTTATACATTCTCCTATCTTTCTTTTCCTATTCTACCTTTTCACCTTATCATTTCCTTTCTCTTATTTCTGACTCACTTTTAGGCTCTTTCATACTCTATACCCCACCCATTCCATAAACAAGTTCTGTGGGGAGATCAGAAGTAGGCAGGAGAAAAAGGGAAACAGATTAAAGGATGGGTAACCTAGTAGCCAAAGGACATTAGCCATCCAAGGCCCTGAATGTATACCAAAAGGTGAATCACCCAAATTTGGAGCTCTTCTGGGGCCCAATGAGGAAATGCCCATAAAAAAGTGGGGCATAAGAATAACAAGAGAAAGTGAGGGGATAACTGGTTCAGTAATGGTCATTGCCTACGCGGCAACAGCTCCTGTTAGGTCCCAGCATTAATTCTTGCAGGTTCTTTTTAACTTGCCAAATAATTAATGCAATAATGATGATGGAGCCATACGTGTATAAGGGATATACAGTATCCCATAGAACAAAGATAGGGCTCAACATAATCTAAACCTCACTAGCCATCCCTCTCCCTAGGCTTTCAGGGTCTTGAAACCTAATGCCTCCAAATTCCAGACCTTGTCATTTCTGCCTCACAGAGGATGGAACCAGATCACCAGACTGCATCACAAAGCCCTCCTGTTTCACAAGGCATACACAGCATCACAGACCTTTATCTGTCCAGTAGAAGCTCATGAGGTTCGGTGTTCAGATGGGGTTATATGGTTGTCTATATGGTTGTAGAACCTGGGCCTAAAAGTGTGATGATCACAGGCAGCATACACTCTTTCAAGCTCTCTCTAGTCCTTATAACCTGATGGCTCAGCTCTCCCCTTAAGACATTAGTCTAGCATCTATCCCCAGATAACTAATGCCCTAAGGAGAGGTAGTAGATAGGTCAGAGGAACTCCAAATACATCATCTGTACTGGGAAGATAATTAAAAAACATATATGAGCATAGGGCAAGCATTGTCTTGTTAAGTCTTGGAAAGTGAGGGTTTGATGTCACAGGCAATAGGTGGTCAGTATAGAGTGATTTACGAAGAGGACCATGTCTGATATGGCAAGGAAAGGACATAGTTGCTGTCCTCAAATAGCTTTTTGAGAGTTTTTGAGAGTTAAAGGACTACTCCAAGTCTGTAGTCAAGCTTGAGATGGGTGGGAAGAGACTGTAAACCCTGTCTTCCATGGAGGCTAGTTTCTGGAGCTTGATTTCACAGAACAGCCTGTACAGTCCTGCCTATTTACAGAGATGAGGTTTTGGAAAGGCTTTGGTTATGGACTACAAACTTGTGGCTATTTGGTTGAATTCACCATGGTTGGGATGTTTGATTGAGTGTGTTTTGAAATCTGAATCTAAATACCTTTAGGCAGGGCAAGATTTTTCCTGTTTAACTTCAGTACCCACCATTCTTGGGCCAACTGATTCACATATTAATGTTAACTTCACGGACCCTATTGACATTCTGAGATTTCTGAATTTCCTTAAGAAGTCCCATGCCCCAAGTTCTTAGGCTCAAAAACTCTGAAGTGCTATTTGATCCTTCCTCCAGCATCCAGTCTAACACTGAACAGGTGAATAAGCTCTCAATCTGTGCTCACTGCTAACCTGTGTCAAAGATATGAAAACATTTATTACCTGCCTGCGCTCAAGACATTTAAAAATCTACTTTCAAAGACAAGACCAATTCACATAAAACAAGAACCAATCTTACTAGGGGTTGAGGAAGACGGGCATAAGGAGTTATTATTTAGTGGGTACAAAGTTTGTTTAGGATGATGAAAAAGTTCTGAAAATGGATAGTGGTGATGGTTGCACAACTCTGAATGTAATTAATGTCACTGAAATTTACAGTTAAAATGGTTAAAATAGTAAATTTTATGTTAAGCATATTTTATGACAATTTAAAAAACAAAAGGCAAAATAAAACCCTATCATTAGCATGAGCCATTTTTTTTTACCAGCTATAAGGAAGAATACTTTGAAAATGATTTGACTAAAAAATGGATTACTGAATGTTTTCCTTAAATGTCCTTTTTCTACAGAACCAAAATAAAAACAAAATAGATCCTTACATTTAAGATAATTTAAGAGTCTCACTCTGAAAATGGGATGAGTTTGAGCCATTTCAACATCTTTCCTGAACTTGAAAATTCCATTATACAGGAACAAGAAGACTTTTTCAACCAAAGAGCACTGAACGACAGGTTAACAAAAGTCAATTAAAAAGAAGCTACACCAGCTTTTTAGTAGTAGGTCAAGATATTTACAAAATAGATGGACTCTTTCATTACTTTGAGTATTCCTCCCCCACCTGCTCCTGCTTCCTGCAGTTGCTGTTGCCCCTCCTCTGCTGCTGCAACAGTTCTGTCTCCCATTAACCTGACCCAGTGTGGCCCTGCATGATGTTTGGTGTCCTCCTCCCCTAGGCTATAAAAATATATGACTAATAAGCTGCTATCAGTCTCACAGGTCCAATGTCAGGTGCTGTGCATTCAGCCAAGCCCAGAACCCTAGGATGGGATGAAGATGAGGTGGACAGAACACTGTATCCTACCCAAACAGTTGTTGCTTCCTGAAGTTGCTGCTGCCCTCTGGGCTGCTGAAATAGTTCTCAGTCTCCCATTAGCCTGACCTCTAGCCAGGCAAAACCATCAAATTCTGCAAACTTTGAACATGCTGCACTATTTACCAGTGCACTATTTACCTTACAGGTAACCCACAGCCACTGTCATCCCACTAAGCCATTACAACAATTTGCTACAAACTCCTCTCCAGCAACTCACCCAGCCCTTGCTCCTGTGTCTCAGAGCTGAGGAGTTAAGAGTCAAAGACAATCTTAATGTTTTTGCAGAGTAGGCCTGGCGTACAGGTTTATATATCAGTTTATTTATTGATTTGGTACTCACTGATGGAGCACCATTGCTTGTGTGGCATCACATTGACAGGACGGTGGCATCATCCTAAACAAGGGCACATTCACGTAATGAACACACTGTCATTTTTCATGATGTGGGTATGGATCTTCACATTTGCCCTTCCTGCCTCACGTTTTACAGGGAACCCAGACAAGGAGGTGAAATATATGGAAAGCCTCTGGGGACTCTAAAGGGCTACACAATTATAAAGGATTTATATTCATTTGTTTCTAGAAACTTTTCTAAAGCCAGACCCTGCTTCCATTCCAATGCTACAGCACCACAATTGCTGAAATAGAATTTCTTCAGGAACCTTCACAGTTATTGTATGTACCATGGGTCATATCATACCCCTTTAAATAAAAATCCTGACATACATGATACCGTATGAGTTTGTCCCTCCATACAAGCCTTACAAAGGAGTTTTGCTGTGTGTCATTCTCAGGCTATATTACTGAACATTAGATGTGCCAAGGTGCTGGGGACAGAGAAGCATGGTTGCTGTTATTCAGCAGCAACATATTTATACATGAGTATTTTTATTAATGCTCAAGAGCTAAGATTTCCAAGGAGATGGACAGGAAGCCCCAGGGTAGTGTCAGGCCACAAGATCACCAGCGCTCATGCAGTGGCTTACTACACTATGCAGGAGTAGTAAGCAGCCAGAGGCACTAGAGGGCAGCATCTACCCTCCCAATGCTCCTAGTCCTGTGGATACTCTGGACAGAAACTTTAAAAGGCCATCTGCTCCACTGGCTCTCAATCCTGCCCTTACATAAGAATTACTGTGAGGCTTGCAAAAATATAGATTTCCTGGCATCCCCTCAGACTTAATGAATCTGAATCCCTAGGGTCAGGGTCTGGCAATCTATATATTAAGGATAAAAAAAAATCCTCAACCAATAAAGCACTGGGTTCTGGGATATATATTTGGGAGCAACTGATAAGTCCTTTTCCCTGCCAATTTATTGAGACAGTTGATACATAGCATTGTGTTAGTTTAATGTATACAACATAATTAGATATATGTGTATATCTGTATCTCTGTATCTACAGATATTTAGATCTATTCCTGCAGCTGCTGTCGCCCCTCCTCTCTGCTGCTGCAACAGTTCTATGTCCCATTAACCTGACCCAGTGTGGCCCTGCATGATGTTTGGTGTCCTCCTCCCCTAGGCTATGAATATATATGATTAATGGGAGTTACAATGGGAGTAAAAGTTTTTTCTTTTTATATTAGGACCAAGATACTTTATCCTAGGAATGCAGGGTTGGTTTAATAACTCAAAAATCAATCATTGAAATTCACCATGTTAATAAATTAAAAAGGAAAGCCATGTGATTATCTCAATACATGCAGGAAAAGTAGTTGACATCCATCCCTCATAAAAACTGTTAGCAAGCTTGAAATAGAAAGGCACTTCCACAGACTGATAAAGGACATCTACAAACGACTTACATACTAACAGCGAAATACTGAATGCTTTGTGCTTCAAGATAAGGAACGAGGCAACGAGGTTGACTCTCAGTTATTTTCAGTGTTGCACTGGAGGTTCTGGCCAGTTTAGTCAGGTAAGGAAAGAAATAAAAGGCATCCATACTGAAAAAGAAGAAGTAAAACTGCCTTAACTTGAAAATAATATTATCATTTATATAGACAACATATGGAATCTGTTAAAAGCTACTAGAACTAATACATGAAAAGAAGACTGAAGGAAACAAGATCAATGTGCAAAAATCAACTGGAGTTTTATGTACTTGCAACAATCAGTAATTGAAATTTTCAAAAACACCCATTTACAATAGCACCAAAAATATCATATATTAAGGAATAAATCTACTAGAAGATGTGACAGAACTATAAAATACTTCTGAGGAAATTTAAAGACCTCATAAATGGAGAGATATACCTTGTTCATGGGTAAGAAGACCTAATATTGCTAAGATGTCATTTCTTCCCAAACTGATCTACAGATTCAATACAATCCTGACAGGCTCTTGTAAAAATTGATAATCTGATTCTAAGATTTATATGGTAGTTCAAAAACCTTTGAATAGCAAAATCTGAAAGAGTATCTCACCGTGACCCTCCTTACCCCAGAACGACTCAGGAGACATGGGCCCATGCAAGAGATTTTATTACCTGAAAGAGAAAATGGCTGCCCCCAGAGAGATAGCAGCCTTGTGGTGCACAGCATTGTGCCTTTTATAGTGGCAGAGCGGAATGTTTAGAGATAAGGTGAGGCAAGTCCAGACATGATTTTCACCAGCCTATGTGCTTGGGACCATGGGGTAAATGGAGGATAAAGTACTATATTCTTATAAAATCGATTTTGAAAAAGAATAAAAAAGTTGAAGACAGTGTTTGTTAATTTTATGAGTCAACTTAACTGGGACATGAGGTGCCCAGATATTTGGTTAAACATTATTCTGAGATTAACATTTGAATATGTAGACTAAGTAAAGCAGATTGCTCTCCTCAGTGTGGGTGGGCCTCATCCAATCCTTTTGAGGCCTAAATAGAACAAAAGGCTAAGAACAAAGGGATAAGGGAGAATTTGCTCTCTCAGCCTGACTGTTAGCCAGCTGGAATATTAGTTTTCTAT